CAAATCTCAGGACCTGGAAAAACCTCCAAAGAAAAGGGAGGTGATGATTCACCCCACTTCTCCCTTTCTTGGGCAGAATCCCATCCCCCACCCTCAACCCCCACCCTTTTATTTAACCTGCCTTACAGAAACAGCACTGGGCCCTATCTCACAAGATGAAATTCAATGTAGAGAAAAGGAAAGTCTTACACTTAGGTAAGAAAAACAAAAGTACACATGTAGACTGGGTGAAACCAGGCTTAATAGCAGTGACTGTGAGAGGGATCTTGGAGTTTTAGTGGACAACCAGCTATATATGAGCTAGCAGTGTGTGGCGGCAGGCAAAAAAAGCCAATACAATCCTAAATTGCATTAAGAGAGGGATACAATCAAGATCAAGTGAGGTATTAATACCTCTCTATAAAGCCCTGGTAAGACCACACCTAGAGTACTGCATCCAGTTTTGGTCACCACACTATAAGAAAGATGTTGAGACTCTAGAAAAGTGCAGGAGAAGAGCAACCAGGATGATTAGGGGACTGGAGACTAAAACATACGATGAACAGTTGCAGGAACTGGGCATGGTAGTCTAGCGAAGAGAAGACCAGGGGAGACATGATAGCAGTCTTCCAATATTTGAGGGGCTGCCAGAGAGAGGAGGGGTCAACCTATTTTCCAAAGCACCTGAAAGCAAGGACAAGGAATAATGGATGGAATCCAATAAAGGAGAGATTCAACCTAGAAATAAAGATAAATTTTCTGACCGTGAGAACAATCAACCCATGGAACAAAAGTTGCCTTCGGAAGTTGTGGGAGCTTCCTCACTGGAAGCTTTCAAGAAGAAATTGGACTGCCATCTGTCAGAAATGGTGTAGGGCCGTAATGGCGAACCTATGGCACGCGTGCCACAGGTGGCACGCGGAGCATGTTGCCTGGCACGCCAGCTCAGCTCTGTCAGCTGATTTTCGGCCCTTTTGGGCCCACCAGAAGAGGGCCGGGGGGGGAAGGCCCGTTTTTCTTTCTCCCTGGCTCCAGATCCTCTCTATGCATCTGGGGAGGGTGAAAACAGCCTTCCCCACCCCCTCGAAGGCCCGAAACGGCCCGTTTCTCAACTTCTGGCCTTCCGAGGGGGTGGGGAAGGCTGTTTTCGCCCTTCCCAGATGCATAGAAAGGATCTGGAGTCAGCTGAGAAAGAAAAATGGGCCTACCGGGCCATCGCGTGCCAGGAGTGGGGGGGGGAAGGGGGGTCGCGCTCGCAAATGCGTGGCGGGGCACATAGAATTATGGGTGTGGGCACACACATGGGCAAACCTCCCCCACCCCACCCCTTCCTGGCACGCGATGGCAAAAAGGTTAGCCATCACTGGTGTAGGGTCTCCTGCTTAGGCAGGGGGTTGGACTAGATTATCTATGAAGGTCCCTTCCAACTCTGTTAATCTGTTAAATCCTGCTTGAAAACCAGTGTGGCAATGCAGTGAACGGGTGGGCAGTTTTTTTCCAGTAATTGGCCACTATTACTGTACAACCAGGAGCAGATAATTCACAGGCGGCACAAATAAACCCCCATTTTTATCACTGCTGCCATTTACCCGGGAAGTATAAGAATTTCCCACTAAGAGGATCTGTCGAGTACGTGATCGGAACGAGGCAAAGTTATGCTAATCTAATTTAACCACTTTATTCTCTGCTAAATGTTTGGGTTCTGTGCATTATTCCCTGAGAACACTAAGTCATTTTGTTTATCTCTGAGGTCAGCACTTAGCTTTCCGTCGGTTATGGAGGTCACTACCAAAGAAGTGATTCATAAACTTCAAGGAAATAATTCATCACGCTCCCAATTATGAAGTGATATCACTGTTCCACATCTGCATCGGGACTGCGAAAGGAAGTCAGCCTGCTTATTTGCAAGCAACTATTTTGAAAAGAAAATGGCAATTTACACAGGGGGTGGTTGCAAATGAAGGAATTAAAAACACACACACACAAATACGAAACGGTAGCTATGAGGGAGATTTTGTTCCGCAAACAATGCCACAATGAAAAGAAGGAGTCAATTTATTTTCCAAAGCACCAGAGGGCAAGACAAGAAGCAATGGATGGAAACTAACCAAAGAGAGAAGCAATCTGGAAATAAGGAGAAATTTCCTGACAGTGAGGATAATTAACCAGTGGAACAGCCTGCCACCAGAAGTTATGGGTGCTCCATCACTAGGTTTTTAAGATGAGACTGGACAGCCACCTGTCTAAAATGGTATAGGGCAGTGGTGGCGAACCTTTTAGACACCGAATGCCCAAACTGCGCACGCACACATGCCCAAACTGAAAGGTGCACATGCACGCAAATGTGCGCTTGCACAGACATGTGCGCATGTGCAGCAGAGACCCAAAGACCAGCTGGCCAGCGGGAGAGGGGGCATCCCAACATCGGCAGAGCAGCAAGAGGTAAGATCTTTTTTTTCGTGAGCTTCTGTTTTGTCGTTTGCAGGGAAACAGAAGCTCACGAAAGAAATGCCACAGAGATCTGACCTGGGGCAACGGCGCGTGTGCCAGCAGAGAGGGCTCTACGTGCCACCTCTGGCACGCATGCCATAGGTTCACCATCATTGGTATAGGGTCTCCTCCTTGTGCAGGAGGTTGGACTAGAAGACCTCCAAAGTCCCTTCTAGCTCTATTCTGATTATTATGAAGAAGCCCCATAATGCTTCTCTAGGGCTGCTGTGAAAGAACATTTGGGATGATTAAGTGCAGACACAAACACTGCAGGGGTGGGTTTCAAATTTTTTTACTACCGGTTCTGTGGGTGTGGCTTGGTGGGCATGGCATGGCTTGGTGGGTGTGGCAGGGGAAGGATACTGTAAAATCTCCATTCCCACCCCATTCCAGGGGAAGGTTACTGCAAAATCCCCATTTCCTCCCGATTAGCTGGGACTCGGGAGGCAAAGAATAGATGGGGGCGGGGCCAGGCAGAATTTTTACTACCAGTTCTCCGAACTACTCAGAATTTCCACTACCGGTTCTCCAGAACTCATCAGAACCTGCTGAAACCCACCTCTGAAACACTGGTTCCTCAGCATAGGCACGGCACTTTCTTCTCCAAGTTCTCACGTCCCACTCCCATCTCCGCATGAAAAGCTAGCTGTGTGACCTTGAGCTAGTCCCTCCCTCCCTCTGTCCAACCCACCTCACAGGGTGAGGGGAAAATAGGAGGAGGACATTGTCTTGGATATGTTTGCTGCCTCGAGTTATTTATACAAATCATAAAGGTGGGATACTAATAAAATAAATAAATAAATTACTGGCCATAAGTCCGTGTAGTGTGTTGGGGTCTGCATGAAAACAGAAGATTGCAATCAAGCTGACATGCATGTGAGGGCCCACAAGAATGGACAGACAACGACCCACAAAATCCCTTTGTTTCTCCCTCTAGCCACATGCCTGCTTTCCCAGTGTAGGAAGAAATATCCTTCTGGGTTCAGCTCCAAGTGGGGAAAAAGACACTGGAGACATGGGGACTGCTTGGAAAGATGGTTTAATGGTGGACAGGATCACATGGTTTGAGTTCCTGAACAGAAAAGAGGGCAGATACAGCGAGTCTCCGGGTATTATGCTCTCTCTGGCTTTGAACTTCCCGGGGCCCAGAAAGAGTATCCTGATTGGTTGTCAGACTCCCAGGGGGTGGGGGTCTCAGCTAGCCTTGCTGGCTGATGTAATCTTCCCAGGTCACATGTGGTGAGTTTCTGTTGCTAGATGGGTCCCATTGTGTTAGTTTCTGTTGCTATTGTGTTGCAGATGTCCTTTGACAAAGGATTGGGTTTCTGCCTCTGGACCATTAACAAAAGGGTGGGGGCAGGAAGGTGGGAGCTGCTTTGTCTTTAAAACATGCTTCTCCATTTCTCATCCAGGGAAACATAATATTCTCCCTTTTTAATATTTCCCAAAATATTTCATTCTTCTAGGAAAGGGGTGGGTGCTAACTTCCTACACCAGACAGAAAGATTTCCTTGCTGCTCTTCAGCCTTAATCCCCAAGCTGCATTCAGGGTAAAGCAGGCAGTGAAAAACTCAGCTGAGAGCTGCCCAGAATCGGGTGGACCGGTGCAATAAAAATAACCTGGTACTAAATACCGTATTTCCCCGAAAATAAGACCCTGTCTTATATTTTTTTGAACCCTGAAATAAGCGTTTGGCCTTATTTTCGGGGAGGTCTTATTATTTTGGGGCGCATGGAGCAAGATGGGGCTCCTCTTGCTGTCTTACCTGATTTCCAGCTCTGCATTTAAATATTTTCAGGGAGGGCTTATTTTCGGGGGGGGGATGCTTATTTTAGTGTATGCACTCAACAGCCTGATTGGGCTTATTATCAGGGGATGTCTTAGTTTCAGGGAAACAGGGTATTAATAAATCAAAGTAGATCATCATAGATTTTAGAAAGAGCCCGCATGGTCATACTCCACTCCGTATCAAGGATGCAGCTGTAGAGGTGGTCATCTGTATTAAGTATCTGGAGGTGCAGATAACTAAGAATCTGAACTAGTCTCTCCCCATGTCATCCTTAGTGAAGCAGATTAACAGAATTAATTAATTAATTAATTAATTAATTAATTAATTAATTGGTTCGATTTATATGCCCCCCTTTTCCGGAGACTCAGGGCGGCTTCCAATGTGTTAAGCAATAGCCTTCATACTTTTGTATATACCTGCTTAGTAGGGCTTTCGCCCACCCCCCCAAGTGGTGTTCTTTTTTTATACAAAGTCAGTTTATTGCCCTCACAATCCGGGTCCTCATTTTACCTACCTCGAAGGGATGGAAGGCCGAGTCAACCTTGAGCCTGGTGAGATTTGAACTTGCAGTAATTGCAGGCAGCTGGTGTTACTTAAAAGTGCTTTTTAGTCTGCTGCGCCACCAAGGCTCTTAGTAGAATTAACAGAATAACAAGAAGGGACCTTGGAGGTCTTCTAGTCCAACCCTCTGCTCTAACATGAAATCCTATACTAGCCCATCCTATACCTATACCCTGACAAGCGTATCTGTCCAGACCCTATACATGTCTACGCGAACTACGCGAACCAGGGGCCCATGAACTACAGTTGTGATGTGGCAGTCGCAGAGCTGGTTCCCACCACGAGGCACCACAGGGTACGCAGGGACCGAATTTGACATGGCTGCACTAGGAGGCCCCGATTCAAAGAGAAAAGGAAGCAGTTCCTGTAACAATTTTAACCTAGAAGCTGGAGCTTAAGAGAGTAGAACCTATATTCTGAAATATATCGTAAACGGACTCATTAATATTTATGCATGTAGGTAGGCAGTCCTCAACTTAACAGTTCGTTTAGTGACCATTCCAAGCTACAACAGCACAGAAAAGCATAGCAAAGCTGGCTGGGGAATTCTGGGAGTTGAAAGCTTTACTGGTTGGGGAATTCTGGGAGTTGAAGTCCTCCAGGCTTTGCTGGCTGGGGATTCTGGGAGTTGAAGGCTTTGCTGGCTGGGGAATTCTGGGAGTTGAAAGCTTTGCTGGCTGGGGATTCTGGGAGTTGAAGTCCTCCAGGCTTTGCTGGCTGGGGAATTCTGGGAGTTGGAGGCTTTGCTGGCTGGGAATTCTGGGAGTTGAAAGCTTTGCTGGCTGGGGAATTCTGGGAGTTGAAGTCCTCCAGGCTTTGCTGGCTGGGGAAATTCTGGGAGTTGGAGGCTTTGCTGGCTGGGGAATTCTGGGAGTTGGAGGCTTTGCTGGCTGGGGAATTCTGGGAGTTGTAGTCCTCCAGGCTTTGCTGGCTGGGGAATTCTGGGAGTTGAAGGCTTTACTGGCTGGGGAATTCTGGGAGTTGAAGTCCTCCACACTTAAAGTGGCCAAGGTTGGAGACCCCTGCCCTAGGATTCATAAGAGAATTCTGCAGTGTGAAGTTCAGTTCAGCCTCGCCAAAACCCCGCTCCCTTCTTGCTTCTCGGTTTTGTCCTCTCCTCCCTCCCCCCCCCCAAAAAACCCCCAAACGCCACTTTTGCAACGTTTTTGCCTTCACCCCTGCGCCAGCTTCTCCCTATTCCCCCCTCCTGTATGAGGGTCGGGGTCGGCTCGGGGGACGACGACGACCCAGCATAGTTTTGGCCACCTCTCGCCATCGTAACAACTGAAGCCACCCCGCAAGCCGCCGCTTTTTAACGCGAGCAGGACTGGAGGCGCCCGCGAGCGCCCTGTTGGGAACTCGGGGATGGGAGGGAGGGAGGGAGGGGGCCGGGCGGCTCTCCCGGCGCTCTCCGCGCCGCGCCTGCGCAGAAGCGGCTCGGCAGTAGTGGCCCCTCCGGCGCAGGCGCGCGCGCGAGATGCCCCGCGACGAGATGGCGGCTTCGCTGATCCAGCGGGTGGCCCGACAGGCTCGGGCGACCTTCGGGTCTGGGTCGGGCGAAGCTGCGGGCTCCGAGTTGCAACGTCTGCGGGAGCTGCTGGGCCAAGTGAGCGCCGAAGACCTGGGCTTGCAACCGCGGGGTCCTTCTCCCGTGCCCGGACCGAACCAACCGCCCGTCAGCTACATGCACATCTGCGAGACGGCGCGCTTCAGCATGGGCGTCTTCGTGCTCCGCGCCGGCGCCTGCATCCCGTTGCACGACCACCCGGGCATGCAGGGCTTGCTCAAGGTGCTCTACGGCACGCTGCGAATCGCCTGCCTGGACGCTGCCGCGGCCGACGTGGAAGTCGACGCGCTCGACGAGTCCGACGAGCCCAAGGACGCCGGCGCTGCCTCCTCCACCCGTCCCCGCCGCCTGCGCGCCCAGCTCCGCTCCCACCGCCTCTACACGGCCGCCGCGCCGCCCTGCCTGCTCTCCCCGCAGCGGGACAACCTGCACCAGATCGCCGCCGAGGGCACCGGGCCAGCCGCTTTCCTCGACATCCTGGCGCCGCCTTACGACCCGGCGCGCGGACGCGACTGCCACTACTACCGGCTGGCCGACGGACAGAGCCTCCCGCCGGCGCCCGCCGCACCCGTCCAGCCCAGCGTCCTCTGGCTGCTGGAGACCCCGCAGACACCCGACTTCTGGTGCGGCGGGGAGCCTTACCCGGGCCCGCGCGTCTCTCCCTGAAGCCCCCGAGGACGGACGGGGGAGGAGGAGGAGGCCCCGGCCTCTGGAGCCTTTCCTAACTTTCCTAACGGCGGGGCTGCCGGGGAAAAAAAGATTCCCGCCTGGACTTTTCTGCTGGGTTCAACGCTGCCCCCACCTTCGTCCCCCGCTTAAGGGGTGTCAAACAACGGTTCTGAGATACACGGACTGACTCCCCCCCTCCTCTTTTTTTTTTTTTTAACTCGAATTATTTTGCACAAAGTTTTATTAAAAGAAGAGAAAACAGCCTTCTTTGCTGGGTGCAGAATCCTTTTTTTTTTTTTTTTTTGGGTGTGGTGGGAGATCCATTTGACCAGGGGGGGAAAAACTGTAATTCTATAGAACTGAAGATGCCCCCACCCCTCCTCCCTCTTTCTCTCTCTCTTGTCTTCTATTCTTACTTTTTTCGGATTTGCTTCCCTGGTTTCCCGCAAAGGGATATTTCAGTTTGGGAAATACTTTCAAAAGTTATGGAGGAAAAGAACATCCCAGGCTTCTTAAAGCCACTTTTCCTTTTTAATGGATGATGGGGGGGAGGGGGGGGCATTCCCGAGGCCAGCTGCAAAACAGCTGTCTTATATTCACAACAGTGTCAGCTGTTTGCCTCCATCAGTGGTGGCTGTTAAAGCTTTTGGAAGTTAACATGGTTCTTTTGTAAGTGGAAGAAAAACGAATTGTAGCTTCGTTTTAAACAGAAGCACCGTAAAGGAGGTGGGGTAGGGATTCAGTTTACAATTTAAAATAGGTTTAGCTACCTGGGCTAAGCTACCTACTCAGCCGCTTTCAGCCAGCGAAGAGAAATGTTTACATTAATCTAGCACAAAGATTGGATATTTTTCAGTTTGGAAAACAAGTCTAATGTTTGGTGTTTTTATTACTGTTGGTCTTTTCTGAGCAAAGGACAACCAAGATCTTGTTAAAATCTCAGCATTGTACAGATTTACACCCAAGAGCAACTGTATTTCGTATAGAGAGTAAAACTGACGGAATGAGACGTCTCTGAGAGTGCCTGTTTTCTGGGATCGAAGGCTAAAGCCGGAGTTCCCAAAAGCAAGATACCGCCTGCCATTCAGGCTGGGTTGAGGGAAGCCAGGTTCCCTCCTGCATCCAGACCTCCGGTTCCCCATCTGGGGAGACCTGCTTCCGAAGGGAGGAAAGGGGGGAGTCTTTCTCCCCATTTTCGGGTGGGTGGGTGGCAGGGACTGTATATAGTAGCTTAGGCTGAGCGGATTCAGCCAATGGGACGCCATTCACTCGTGATTTATTTCAACTGGGGAAAGTCGAATAATTTTGGGGCCACAGTAAATTAGAATAATGGGTCTGTTCTAGAACAGCATTTGCCTGAAGGCCACAAGACCATCTCGGGGAACCTTTCTATGGTCTTGGTGTCTGGTTCATTTCTGCGGCTAATCAGTGGGCCAGATGGAAAAAAAGCCCAACTTTTTGGGTGTGTGTGTGTGTCTTTGTTAATTGAAGTGTTAAACCTGAAAGATATTTCACACATGAAAAGAGGGTTTCCCCCCCCTATGATAGGTATCCATGCCTTTGCCTCTTACTGAGTGACAAGAATAATCCAGTCCTTCAATTTTTAGTGCCATCCTGGAATTGTTCCTGTCGACTTTTTCGTTCCACGCTGTAATTGTTATTTATTGGCACCATGAAGGAGAACAATAAACGAGCCCAGGTCTAAATATCTTGTTGAAGCTTTGCTATATGGGATTCAGATATTGTCCGGTTTACAGCAAGGTCATACTCTGAAGCATCTTCATCCCCACCACGTTGCCAAGAAAACGGATCTTGTTCTATAACTGGTAGATATACTGTATTTTTCCGAGTATTAAGACGCACTCCCCCCCCCAACCCAAAAAAAGGGTGAAAATTTTGGTGCGTCTTCTAGATCAGGGGTTTCCAACCTTGGCAACTTTAAGCCTGGCGGACTTCAACTCCCAGAATTCCCCAGCCAGCTTACTGGCTGGGGAATTCTGGGAGTTGAAGTCCACCAGGCTTAAAGTTGCCAAGGTTGGGACCCCTGATCTAGATCAAACACGGACGTGTTTTTGGCCTCCTGAACCCTCCAAATGTCCCATTTTTGCCCTCCCTGGCTCCCAAAAGCACTCTGTAGGGCAAAAACCACATTTTTGGGTGAAAACCGGACGCGCGGAGGATTCAGGAGGGCCTGTTTGTGGCCTACAAAGTGCTTCTGGAGGCCGAGGAGGGCGAAAATGGGACGCACGGAGGCCAAAATCTATTTTTTTCCCCCTTGTTTTCCTTCTGTAAATCTAGGTTCGTCTTACAGTCCGGTGCATCTTACAGTCTGAAAATACGGTACATTTCCTGCAGTTGCAACTACTCACTCTAGTGAATGCATGCGTTCTTATCTGAGAACAAGTGCCTTACCACCCAGTCTGATTCCCATAAAACTGCAGTTTGTTTACAGCACATTCATGTCGTTTTGTTACATCAAATGGTGCCCAAGAATGATGCCACCCCGTTCAACGACTGGCACCCGTGGGAAATCCCATTGGGGCAAGTTGCCAAAACCACAGCTTTTTTCTGAAAAAGTACTAGGCAAAACATTGAAGTGCGTGTTTTCTCTTTGCAGAGATCGTATATTTTTTTCTTCATCAAGAAACATTCAGAATGGTTCGAATCCCTAGTATAGGTCTGTAGGAGCAGTGGGTTGGGCTAGATGACCTCCAAGGTCCCTTCCAACTCTGTTACTGTTAACCTTGATGTTTGGGCACAATTGTTTTCTTCTAGATTCAGCATGATCTGTGGCCGCGACTCATGTTAGTGCAGCAGAAGACAGTGGAGGAAGTTTTTCTGTTACGGAAACATCACAACCATTTTAAACTCGGCAAGGAGGCTTTTTTGCTCCCCCGCTATAAAACGATCAAGTCTGGATATGTGTACAAACCTTGAGGGGCTCCAGGGTGTGACCGGTGTTATGTCACTGAGTGGGTTATGCCTTCCTGAGTGGGAGGGTGAGTTAGAACGAGACTGTCCCGTTCCATTTGCGGAGGCTGCTGGGGCTCAGTGGAAATCCCTCCTTCCATAGAGCTGCGTGTCTGACGCCTTGAAGCATTTCCTGCTGAATACCACATGATTTAACTTGTTGCTTCTGTTTATCGCAAATGTTTATATTTGCCCATCCCAGTAACAGTGATTGCAAAAAATGCAAAAGCAGTTTAAATACTTGAAAGACAAATTGAAAAGAGCAAATTAAAATGGTGGACCTCGTGTTTTAGGTGTGTCCCGTGTTCTTAAAAGCCAGGAAAGGGCAGCGGCCCCCAAACTTTTGGGCACCAGGGACTGTTTCCGTGGAGAAAGGTTTTTCTCCAGACCGAAGGGAATGTGCTTTTGTGGATGCTGCCTGCACCCCATAGATGAGGCTTTGGTTGTTTGCGTGGCCTTGTTTCTGGCATGCCACAGATTGGTGCCAATGCATGGACCAGATTTGGGGATCCCTGCTCTAGGTAAAGGTAAAGGTTCCCCTCGCACGTATGTGCTAGTCGTTCCCGACTCTAAGGGGGGTGCTCATCTCCGTTTCAAAGCCGAAGAGCCAGCGCTGTCCAAAGACGTCTCCGTGGTCATGCGGCCGGCATGACTCAATGCCAAAGGCGCCCGGAACGCTGTTCCCTTCCCACCAAAGGTGGTCCCTATTTTTCTACTTGCATTTTTTATGTGCTTTCGAACTGCTAGATTGGCAGAAGCTGGGACAAGTAACGGGAGCTCACCCCATTACGCGGCACTAGGGATTCGAACTGCTGAACTGCCGACCTTTCAATCGACAAGCTCAACGTCTTAGCCACTAAGCCACCACGTCCCCTGCTTTAGGAAGCTGCTTTATTTAGAAGCCTGGACTGACTTCTAAATAAACATATAGCCTATCCGTTCCTTTAATTTTATAAGCCAGTCTATTAAATATATTACATAGTCTTTTTTTCCCCCTTCTTTTTCTTTTTTTGCACCTGTGTTCACAAAAACACGACTCTTCCCTTTTTGTAAATTGAATTCGCGCTCGCTCAACAGCAGTGATATCTTTGGTATCTACCCCCCAAATTGCGGCTTTCTAAAGCAGAGATTTTGACCTGTGAAGACTGAATGGTTTTGAGCCTTTTCACACGTGCCTTCTCTGCTGCCTCTCAAAGGGTTGATCCCAAGTTTCTCACGAGAAGTATTTTATACATCAAGACAAGAGTATGTTACAACCACTTTTTTTTTTCTTCAACCCTTTCGATCTGATTCAAATAGCTTTAACAATACGGGTTTGGCCTTTCGTTGCTGGATTCACACGTCAGGCCAAGCCCAGCGTTAGGGCCAAAGTGCTGTGCAAAACTGACAAAGTGTGTGTGTGTGTGGGGAGAGGCAACCCGTGACCCACAGATAGGCAAGTTGTTGTAGCCCGTCAGCGGCCGGTGCAGATTGTAGCTGATTCCGACAACAAGGAGGCTGGTGTGGTGCTGCGCCAGCAGCCTGTGCAGCTAGCACTCGAGTCGGACAGTGAGGAGGCTGGAGAAGATTTGGTGCCGGAGACGGATTCAGCCAGGGCCTCCAGAAGCTCCCTTAAGTGAAGAGGACGAAGAGGAGGAGCCTCTTCTCAATGCACGGGCACGCAGAGCTGCCAAAAGGCAGGAATGGCTCCTCAGGAGGAGGTCTCCTCGAGAGTAAGGCTTGGGTTAATTGGCCACTCCCTTAGCCTATTTAAGGAGGCCCGCCGATTGCAGCAAACTGTAGGGAACAACTTTAGTTCACTCTCCTTCGCGTCTGGATTCTCTGCAAAATTGCTTCTGGGCTTTCTGCCATCCCTAGTAAGGCTGTGATTACCTTATTTTAGGATTCTTGTAGGCTGTTAAGAAAGTTTATTTCTTTATTTAAGGGTACTTTCTTCCATCAGTGGTGGATTTGTCCGTCAGCTAGACGCTATTGGGGGGGAAATACAGCAGTGGCTGCTGGAAATAACAGGTGTGAGCTTTCCCCTTCACCCAGACCTCTACTTACTCGGAATAAGACCGGACTACATTGACAAGAAGGATTGGTATATATTTGTCCATGTCTCAACAGCGGCGAGAATGGCATTTGCTCAACTGTGGAAAGATGCAGATACGACCATCTGATAATAAACAAGATTCTCCGATGTGCTGAGATGGACAGGCTAACGTATATCTTAAAAGACAAGAAAGATTCAGTATATAATACAAGTTGGGACAGATGCTTTGTCTGGCTCAAAAGAAGGTTAAATTTAGGAGAAGGGTGATAAGATCGTCTAATTAGATTAACTAGATATTTACTAGGCTTTATAACTCTTTATAATTTTGATAAAAACAGGCCAATTGTTTTGTAGTTAGTAAAAAGAACTTGATTGCATTGAAATGTTTGGCTGGGGTGATATTAGTTAATATTAATTGGAGAGTGAGCTTAACTCTCCGTTAGTCATGTTTGTTGTTTCGTTTTAGTCCTGTGTTTGTGTTTTTCTATATTTCGCTTCCTATATTGCTTTTCAATCATTATTGTGTGTTAATTTTATTATAAATATTTAATAAAGATTATTTTATATAAAAAAAGTTTATTAACAGCCTTTGTTTGAAAAAGACTGAGTTATTTGAGTAAAATAAGCTTTGTATAGATTTTGTGTGTGCTGCATTCTTTGGGGTCCGTAGCTGGGGCAGAACACAATTCACGTGAAACAGCCACTCGTAGCGAGGAGAAGTCGTGCTTCTGCAACTTACAAAGTTTGCTTTTAGCAAAGATGCAGAGGAGTAGGGAGGCCATCTTTGGTGATTTTTAAGAATGGCGATGGACAAGTTCCTGGGAAGATGGTTTTTCACTTACTAGCAAGCAATCAAGTCCTAAATCCAGGGGTTGAGAAGGTGCATGGATCTGAATATGTGTACGATTGGTTGACACGTTTTTATTTAAGGTCGCAATAAAAGGTAAAAGTTTCTCCTCTCCAGTCATTTCTGACTCTAGGGGGCGCTGTTCATCTCCATTTCTTCGCTGAGGGCATCAGCGTTGTCCAAAGACACTTCCGTGGTTATGTGGCCAGCATGGCTATACACATGGAATGCTGTTACCTTCCCAATAAAGTGGTACCTATTTTATCTACTCGATGAGCTGCACTGTAGTGCAGTGGTTAGAATGCAGTATTGCAGTCTGACTCTGCCGACTGGCAGCAGTTCGAGTGTCACCAGGCTCAAGGTTGACTCAGCCTTCCATCCTTCCGAGGTCAGTAAAATGAGGACCTAGATTGTTGGGGGCAAGAGGCTGACTCTGTAAACCGCTTAGAGATTCCTGTAAAAGCACTGTGAAGCGGTATATAAGTCTAAGTGCTGTTGCTACTCACATTTGCATGCTTTCAAGCTGCTAGGTTGGCAGGAGCTGGGGCAAGGATGGGAAGTTCACCCAGTTGCGCAACATTTGGGTCTCGAACTGCCGATCTTTGGTCGACAAGCCCAACATCTAAACCAGGGGTGAAATGCTGCCGGTTCGGACCAGATCGCCTGATCCGGTAGCAAATGCGGCGGGTGGTTCGGAGAACCGGTAGCAAAACTCCCTGCGCCCCCCACCATGCTCAGCTGTGTCGCAGGATCATCAGAGGCTTTTTTTTAACTTTTAAAAGCATTTTTTCTACAACCTCTTCCAACGAAAAAATGCTTTTAAAAGTAAAAAAAAAAAAGCCTCTGATGATC